GTATTAATATGCAACACTTTCCATATGGAAATGACTATGCATACGGCATTGACAGAAAAGTAATCATCAATCTCACCAAGACACAGCCCTGAGATCTACAATAGTGCCATGCCTGCAAGACACTATTCCACACAATAGGGCAATGGTGGCAGAAACGTTATGGGAATAAGCAGTCACATTTTGACTAGATTTAAGGCCCATATGAAACTCACACCCAACACTGTTAATGAAACCAAAAACCTGAAGCTAGTTAGGTCATGGGCTCTAAGAGAAATGCTACTATACTTATTCTACTAAGTGAACATGACAATAAAATGATTCCTAATATCATCGCTATATCCATAGATAAGTACATCACTGTGCCTTCATCAGAGAAGCTTCTTCTTGCAATAGATGAATAAGACAGAAACCTACAACTGGACATGTAGAGGGTGAGAGGCTTTGGAGGATTCAACTCCAATGTCTTCATCAAACCCATGCCATCAGAGATAAGGAATATATTCAGAAAAAGAAGTGAAAAGATTGTAAGATCCAGAGGTGAGGAATGACCCCAATGAAAGAATGGCATGCACTTGAAAACACAACAGGGCGGATACACATATCAACTCACAGAGGCTCTAACAGCATGTTAAAAGGAGACCTACACATGTTAAAACCAGACAAAACCTTACCACTGAAAAGGGTAAGTAGGTACAAAATCCCACCTCTGACTAAGAAGTTATTTGCAATTTATAGCCCTCTATGGACTCCTATTACATCTTGTTTTCTCTGTGTTTTCATCTCAGGATTGACTCAGCAACTCCATATGGCCTTTATTTGACATTAGTATCAAAATGGTGCTCACATTGTAGAATTAATTGTGAAGCATAAACTCCTCCTCTGTTGCCTGTAAGATATCATAAGATTTGTATTATTTCATCCTTGAATTGTTCATGCAACTCTTTACCAAAATCATCAGAACCTAGAATGGTGAAATGATGTCAGGTTTTCCACAAAGCTTTGTTGACTTTGGGAGGGTAGGTGTGGTGTGGGGGTTGTGGAGAATAGTGTAGGGGAATCACAAATTTTATGTGGTGCTTCACTGGAGTAGGACAGTTGCTGCCTGTGAAATGTCCATCATGCTAGAATGTTCTTTATTTGTCCCATGGCAAGAGAGAGAAAGGTTATGTTGAGATTTGGGGGGTACATGTCCCTCAATATTTCTGCTTTTGGTTTTCCAGTTTGGATATCCATAATGAAAAGGAAACCTAGGTGCTTGGGATGTATCTCAGTAGTTGTTGCCAAGCACGCACAAGGCACAGGATTCATTCCCAGCACTGCATAATCCAGTCATAGTGGAGTAAGCCTGCAATCCAGCACTTGAGAGTTGAAGGCATGGGGATAAGAAGTACATGAGATCCTATCTCAAAATGAAAAGCATGTAATCAGCACTGTGTCCTTCTTCAGATATCACATTCCTAAGCTGGGCTTTCTTTTTACTGGGCCTTCCAGCATTTTAGCATTTTTTATATATAAAATCCAGGTGTTTGATGTGGTACTTAACAGTATTAGTTAGAAAAAAAAGTCTTTTCCATCTTCCCAGAAGTAGAAATTTCACAACAATCCCATTGTATCAGAGGAGGAAGAAAACAATTATGACACTAAAGGTTGTCAAAGGTTCACAAACTCTCTTCCTTCAAGGACAACTGTGCTGCCAGTGATGATGACACTGTGTGGGGTGGAGATACAATGGCATTGCCTTGGAATTAATCATAAGTCGGGCATTATGCTGAGCCATTTAATGCCTAGGATAGTGGTATTGTTTTCACTTTAAGAAGAAAGTGAAGTTGACATATAAAGGAGTTAAAGATCTTATTCTAGGTTGGTCACTTGACAATGAAAAGCCAGACTCCTTGAGCCAATGTGAAAAGACTCTTTGCTTTGGGAAGCCCAAATCTAGAGTCAAGCTACTTGAGATAGGAATTAATCATAGAATGTCCATTGTTAAAAAAAAAAACAGGTGTTCCACCAGGAAAAAGCCTCATCTAGGGGGGAAATGAAATTTAAATTTATGTAGTCCTGAAATTAGTTGTTTAGTTACCAGATAAGCAATGTCACGCTAATGGCACTCTGAGAAATTTTGGCTTAAAAGTCTCCCTGAGCTCCAGAAGTTGTGTTGTTCTTATTTCCTGGTCCTGAGACATCTGAATCTTGGCTCACATTTATAGGAAGAATGAGGGTTTTGGTGCAGTTGGCCTGGCTTAGGGTGGCCCTGCAAGGGGTGGCTTTGGAACTGAGGAAGGGACATTTCAATGAGAAAAGATTCCAAGACAGGCATGAGTCAAGCACTGTGGTTATGGAGTGGAAACAAGACACCAGAGTAAGCACGCGTGTGTCTGGAAGGGCTGTTTCCACTGCTGCTGGTGCTGCATGTGACATGCTTGCCCATGTCTGGGGAAACAAACAAAAGCTCCCATTGAGAGCATTCGCAGGAGGAGAGGGCCCTGCACACTGTGGAAACTAAAGCCATGCATTTCTTCAGTTCCAAAGAACATTTTGTGCTTCTAATCTCAGACACAGTCAGTGGGACACTGTTTAGTTTCTCCTCCTGCCATTATTGTGAGTGAATTTTTTTTCTATGTGGGTAAGGTTCTTGTTTCTCATGACATTTTCCTCAGAAAATTCCATTCTTTTGCACAAGGAAGACATGTTGGACAGTTGTAAAAGATGACATTAGAAAGGCATATTTAAATATATAGAACTGGTAAATCATTAAGAGACTATTATCTACTTGAAAGCTGCACCAAGGACATGACTCAACTTCAGGGGAAAGAACCAAGGAAAACTCCAGAAAATCAGAGAGCTTCACAACTATCCTCAAGGGACTTGTAATTAAACAGACTACCTTGGTGATTTGGGGGGAAAGGTGTTTTAAACTTCATGGATTAGAATATAATATCTATTCATTCCACTAACAATCTCATTTGCATATCTCAATCTCAGTCCCTAGACAGGACATAGCTGTCACTATGTACCTACAAAGAAAAGCTGCATATCTTCAGTATTAACAGTTCTAAACAAACATGGGAAACAAAAATTTGAACACACGTAGAATCAGATCAACTCATAAAATAGCTTCAGAAGTAAGACACAAGGAGAGTGTTTAAATTTTATAGACAGTTAAAGGAAGCCAGTGGCAAAGATAGAAAAGAGGGAAATAACTTTTGAAGCCCATTTCCACCTCTCTTCTGTACTTGTGTTTTAAACATTGCCAAGTATTTAAATTGGATGATACCTCAATTCCTTTACACCCCTTTCTCTGCCATATTTCACAGAAAATAAGGACAATAAAATAAAGTGATGAGCAGAATACAAGGAATAATACATTTTAGAATTGTATTTCCAATGTGAGTTAGTTATGTCTAAGTCACTTCTACAATGGACCAACTATGGTAATGTCATTGTGGTGGTGATGGTCCTAATGATATTGTAGGTGGTGGTAACGGTGAGCAACTTTTGTTAATGGTGAAGGTGATGATGGACATGGGTGTGGTGGTTTTAGTGGGTGTGATGGTCATAGTATGCACAATGAAGGTGGTAGGTGGTGATGGATATGCTGCTGCTAGTGGTGATGGTCATGATAGTTGGGGAGAGAGAAATGAAGATTATCAGCAGCTCCCATGCACTGCCACTTATTTAGTTCTAAATTGTTGTCTGGCACTATGCCAATAAAATGACATGCATTTATTCCATTGTTGGCAAAAATAAATCATTGACATATGTGAGAGTTTCAATGTCTAACATAAAAGATAAAACATAGCCAGCATCCCTATTTTCAGAAAAATTCAAGCCAAAGACAGTTGAATCCCACTGCTCCAAGGTACAAATGAATACCAACAAAATAATAGCAATCCCTAGCAAGGATATCAAGAAGGAAAAGAACTCAAACACACCATCCATGAGAGTAGATTAATCGGTCCAGTATGAAGGTCAGTATGGAGTTTTCTCCTAACAAACAACAATAAAAGCAGAACAAACATAAGATTGAGTGAAAACACTTGGATTTGTATAAACAGAGGTCAAAGAGAACATACCTTAGAGATATCTGTATGTCTATCTTTGTTACACCACAACTCATAATACACAAGCTAAATAACAAGGATGGGTGCTCATCAATAGATGACTGGATTAAGAAAATATGACACACACACATACCAGAGTAATATTTAGTTATAAAGAACAATGATATAATGCCCTATTCATGCAAATTGATATAACTGTTATCATATCATATCATCTTGTTAAGAAAGATAAAAACATTCTAAAAGAAAAAATAGGTATGTTGTTTTAAATACAAAATAGGAATAAAATAATAAGGCTATGTTAATGTACATATGTAACTATTAGGGCAGGGTAAGGGAACAAGGGAGAACAAAATATGTGGGGTGTAGGTAAAACATATGATCCAATAAGTACATGCATAACTGAAGAATCCGTTATCTTCTTAGGTTAGCGTTGCTAAAAGGAGATTGTAGTTATGTAGAAGGAAATAATATGATACTCAAGCAATCAAACACTAAGTAATCATTGTTATGATCCAAAATTCAGTCAAAACACAAATGCTACAGATTGACATGTTTCAGAAGCAAGAACACATGAATACCATCACTGAGATTGTAATTTATTTAGGAAATGAAACAACAGTGACAATTATTCTATTAAAGGGACAGAGGGATTTGGAAATCATACTCTGAGAGCACTGAAGGTACATCTAATGTCTTCTCTCTGAACACTGAGATACTGAACCACGGAGGAAGGACCATTCCCCTTGAACAGCAAGAAGACAGCCTCATGGAAATGTCCTCCATTTTAGAGGTATTAACAGGCACAAAGAGGGTGAAGGGTAGAGAAGATTCTTTTGCATCCATGATGAACTTTGAATGGAAGATAGAGTTATTGCTATGAAAGTAGTTGAGATGGATTCCCTTCTCTTCTCCTGGTCATGGTGACAGCTGAAGCAGTCACTTGCTCTTGGGTGGGCACTTTTGCTGGCAGGGTGGAGGGTATTGCACAGGAGGACATTTCTGCTGCCATGGCTGAAGGGGGCAGGGCTCAGGGCACTTTGGGGGAGGACAAGGCTCCGGACACTGTGGAGGAGGACAAAGCTCTGGGCACTTTGGGGGAGGACAAGGCTCCGGACACTGTGGAGGAGGACAAAGCTCTGGGCACTTAGGGGGAGGACAAGGCTCTGGACACTTTGGGGGAGGACAAGGCTCTGGGCACTGTGGAGGTGGACAAGGCTCTGTGCACTTTGGGGGAGGACAAGGCTCTGTGCACTTTGGGGGAGGACAAGGCTCTGGGCACTGTGGGGGAGGACAAGGCTCTGGGCACTGTGGAGGTGGGCACACAGGAGGAGGCTGGCAGGGCTGCTTGCATTGTTGTTGGTGGTAAGACATCGTGCTGAAGTCTCAGGATCTGAAAGACATTCCATGAGAGTGTTCAGGGGTGATTGACAGGGAAAACTGATAGAGGCATAGAACATCAGATCCATATAACTCCATTCATGCACATATTCCCCAACTCCAGTTTTAGGACATCATGGCATTACCCAGTGCTGTCAGCAATCTGTGATAGTAGCCCTGGGAAATCACCTTTGTTTTAGGCCTTATTGCCAGGAGAAAATATTTTGTTCCAAAATAACAAATAAGGCTCTTTTCATACAGAAACATCTTCAAGACAGGCAGTCTCAAGTTCTAGAAGCCTGAACCATCTCAGAATGAATTCCTGCCTCCCTTGTCACTTGTGGCATCCCAGCAGGTTGTCTGGAGATACAGAGTTGAGGATAGCTCAGGAAAATCTTAGGTTCTAATACCTGAAGAGGTATAGGGCTATGAAAATTGATACCTAAAGATGCATATGAAAGAGAAAAATGCTCTGTTCAATCAACTAACAAATAAAAGGAAGAGCCATCTATCAGAGTGGACTAGTGTATCCACTGCTAAATTTCTGGCTGCTAGGTAGATACCTGTCATCCCATGATCACAACAGGACTCATCACACTTACTCCCTCAAAACTGACTACAGCACATAAGAAGACCATAAAGACAGACCAAATCAACAAATGACACTCACCAGGTTCTCCAAAATAGTCCAGGACTTGAGTACAAGGATTCTGCAGTACAAGACCTCTTTGTAGGACTGGCTGCCTGGGCCCAATAAAAGTACAGTGGACTAACAATGGGCAGGTCTGAGAATTTCCCAACCAAAATGCAAATTCATGCTTGACTGGCTAAAAGGGAATCACCAAAGTAGGAAATATCCTGTTCCTGGACATCATCACTATACAGTGCTGTGACTCAGAGGGCCCTCCTGTCTTTTCAGTTTCAGTAAGACCTCCCTAGTTGTTTGAGTTGTCTTTCTTGATTGAAGACAATATATCTTTTCTCTATTACAACTCTCTTCTGTCCTGTTTCTTCTGATTCAGCTCATTGATGTTCTTTGGTGCACTGGCTCATTTATATTCCTGTTTTCAAGGTATAATCTGCCTATGTGCTGAAAGAAGGAAAGTGTTACTGGGAACTTCAGCTGTGGATTCAGCTTCATCTTTGACAACTCTGTTCAGAAGGACAGGTTAAGTCTCCTGCCTAGGTTGAATTCTTATCTTTCAACATAGGAAATTGAATATGCTGTTCATGGGGGAGGGTGAAGGACTTGGTACTTATCCTGACCCTCTTTAGGACTGCCATCTCAAACAAAATAATAAAGGTATATATTTAGACTCCCATCTAATAATAACCATAAAAATGCTTATCATGACAGCAGAACTAAAATTGCACCTGCCCTAAGCATGTTCTTGCTTAGGTGGTTAGTATGAAGACTCACAATATCTCACATTTCTCTTGTAGAAAGAGCTCTGGAGAGCACCTGTAGGTGTGAAACACACCAACTGGAGTTTTTATGAGAACTTTCAAAACACATGGTGTACTGAATCTTCCATATACACACATGTGCTCATTCTTACATATGCACACAGACAGACAGACACATATGCAGAGCATCAGCCTTATATTTTTATCTGCCACATAGCTACATGTATCACTTCCCAATTTTCTTAAGTATATTAATGATCATTGCTGCATAATAACTGAAAGAATGGATAAAAATTGTGTGTTTTGTAATTCTTGATTGACATTTGAACAATTTGAGAGAGCCAAGGCTCTGTACACTTTGTAGGAAGAGAAGGCTCAGGGGACTTTGAGAGTGGACAAGGCTCTGGGCACTGTGGAGGAGAACAAGGCTCTGGGCACTTTGGGGGAGGACAAGGCTCTGGGCACTTAGAGAGTGGGCACACAGGAGGAAGCTGGCAGGGCTGCTTGCACTGTTATTGTTGGTAAGACATCGTGCTGAGGTCTCAGAATCTGAAAGACATTATGTGACAATCCTCACAAGAGGTGATTTCCCACAGGGAAATAATTTCAAAATATTGAAATATCAGAACTATTCCTCTATCCCAACTACTGCTCAAAACTTCCTGACTTCCCTTCCATGTCATCATTTTAGTTCATTAACCTAGAAAACCATTCTTTTTCATCACATTTTCTGTGAGTAAACTCTTTCTTTCAAAGGACAGAATGATGGTACTCTCAGAAAACATCATCTTCAAAAAAAGGCAGCCTGAAGTTTAAGTTGTGAAATACTGAGCAATTTTAACAGTGACAGTAACTGCTGCCATTGTTATTACTTGTGATGTTCAGGAAGTTGACTATAGCATAAAACAGAACACAGAAGAATTAAAAAATGTAGAACCTTCTAAGAGGGAGAAGAAAAGAGAAAAATATTCTCTTTGGTGCTTTAAGTTGTTTTACAATTAAAGATGGAAGAATAGAATGGGGAAGATGAAACAAAGCCATTACTAGCTCCAGCTCTGCTCTGGGAAGCACATAGGTACTGAATTAACCTCAATGAAGCATATCAGCTTCCGATGACAGTCAGTGCTTCTGACAGTAAGGAAGGGTTTGGCAGAGAATGCCATTGTCCATGTCCCTGAAGGGAAAGAGTCATCAGTTCTAGACCTGAGGCCAGGTACCACGAAATGTACCACCAGTGGATGGCTCATAAAAGTTAGTACACATACCATAGAGCTATGTGATTAGGAGACGTACTACTCTCCATATTTGCATATCACACTTAAATAATGATCTTAGGCAATGTCTGACTTCAAACATTCCAAATTGCAAAATTGGCTACTGAGATGGGATGCCAGTAAAACACAGAGTCAGTTAACTTGAAGTTCTTCTTCTAAATATAGCCCATTCAGAAGGGTGGAAATGGTTAAAGGGAAGTAATACAAAGGGAAGACTTATACTGTCATTGGACTTCAGAGGGCAGGGTAAATCAGGTCATGTAAAGAGCAATGATTAACATTAAAGACCTTTGAAAAAGACATGTGGAAACCTACTACTCAAAAAACTTACTAATATCTATTATTACTTACTAATATATATATATAATATTATATTTTTTATATATAATGATTTAATGCAGTTACCTTACAATTGGAGGGAGTGCAATACCACCTCATATTAATAAATGCAAACCTCAGTAGCAGTAACAGCTTACTTCTTTTTAGTTAATAGCAGGTGGGGTCCCATAGACAAAGTCCACTACCTTACAGACTATTGCCTGTGACTTGGGTACCCTCCAGAACTTCAAGGTAAGGCCCTTTTTCTGTAGAAATCAATGCTTAAGTCAGAGAACATGGAGAACTCTAGGAGGTACTCACCTGTTCACTTCATTTGTATTGATCAGTCCTCATGATATTGGAAGGTGCTTTGTACACTGAAGAAGAGGACAAGTACTTACCATCCTCAACCAGTTCTGAACACTGCAAGCTACAACAACAACTGTCTTGGCAAGATAGGACCACTGGCATGACAGTGGCACAAATATGGAAGCAACCAAGCACTTTCTATTTGGATTTAAGGTCCCACTCTATAAGAAAAAGTGCATATCAAGCACAGGTAAAGGGGACACAATCTATAGCTAGACAGGCATAGGCCGTGGGGATAATCCAATTAGTACTATTATTCTACTAAATGGACAAAGCAACACAGCAATTCCTCATAACTTACTGTCACACTAATATCAATATATTTCTCATTCATCATCTAAGCAGCTTCTCTTTGCAGTAGATTATTAACAAAGAGACTGCAACTGATAGATGATGTTGAGAGTAAAAAACTATTTTTTACAAAACATTACACTCACAAAGGAGTTGGCAGAAAGATTATAAGATCTAGAGATAGAAACTGCTTTCTTCACATAACCAGGCCATTAAACGTTTGAACTCATAACTATTGAAACAGCATGCGTAAGTCATATGAAAGATCAAACCAGACCAAAACTCATATACAATAGAAGAGAAATATGAAATCCCACCACTAGTTGAGGAGTTATTAGCAGTTGATAGGTTCTGGGAGAAGGAATGTCAGTTTTCTTCAATGATGAGACACTTGCTGTGTTGTCCTTACTTCAGGGTAGGCCCCACTGTCTAGAATAGCTGGACTAACAAACTGGGACAAGGACAAGCAAATAAAAAGAAATCAAAGTTGGGTGGCAAGAGAAGGAAAGACACAATGGATAGATGACAGTTGTTGGTCAGAGTTCCTTCCACATGAAGAGCAGCCACAGATGAACAGGATGCACATCAAACTTTCTCCAAGTGTGAATCTTAAAGAGAGACATGAAACACAAGTGTGCACAGATATTACACACACAATGGTCCTTCTGAGCTGTCATATATCATTGAGTTAAACATTTGATCCTCTTAGTTTTATTTTCTTTTCAGTGTAGGGGACCCTGAGTTCAACCTGCATATTTTTATCCTGACTTCGAGGGAATTTTATGGATCAATTACAGGCCTGAACAGGAAGGTTTAATATTTAAGAAGTTCTTCATTTAAATTAATGTTTTACTATCTCACCCATTCAGAGGGCCTGATCCAGTTGGGGGCCCCTCAGCCATTGGTTCATAGTTCATGTGTTTCCATTTGTTTGGCTATTTGTCCCTGTGCTTTATCCAACCTTTGTCTCAACGATTCTCACTCATATAAACCCTCCTCTTTCTCGCTAATTGGACTCCCAGAGCTCCATCCGGGGTCTAGCCGTGGATCTCTGCATACAGTCCCCTCAGTCATTGGATGGGGTTTCTAGCACAACAATTAAGATGTTTGGCCATCCCATCACCAGAGTAGGTCAGTTCAGGCTGTCTTTCGACCATTGCCATCTGTTTGGGAGGCATCCAGGAGGTGGGACCAGGTCCTGTGATCATTGCATGAGTTGGCTATTTGAAACCTGGGGCTTATACAGGGACACTTGGCTCGGCCTGGGAGGAGGGGACTGGACCTGCCTGGACTGAGTCTACCAGGTTGATCTCAGTCCTCAGGGGAGGCTTTGCCCTGGAGGAGGTGGGAATGGAGGGTGGGCTGGGGGGAAGGGGAGGGGGGGCGGGAGGGGGGGAGAACAAGGGAATCCGTGGCTGATATGTAGAACTGAACTGTATTGTAGAATAAAATTAAATTAAATTAAAAAATTAATGTTTTACTATGACATAGTATGCCATTAAGAAAAATAACCTGACAAAATCAAGATTCTACATTATTATATTTAAAAAATCAATAACAAGCAACAGAAGATCTGATGTAGGCCTCACATTCTTTATTAGAATCCCTTTCCCACATATTTGCACATTTGACAGTATTTTATTTGGTGTTTTGATGAGGTTCTTGGTGCGAGAGATAATGGTCATGGAATGGTGATGGCCCTGGACATGGTGCTCGTAGCGGGGTAACAGTAGTGAGGGCGAGAATGATAGAGCAGGTAGGCAGTGCTAGCTGGGGTCATGTCTTTTAGTTGTTGTGATAGTGATTCTAGTATTGGTGATGATGATGGGGATGTTGCAGATGGAAGTGAGGATGGTAGTGAGGGTAGTGGAAATGATGTGGATCAGCAGCTTCCAGTTCTATCACTAACTTGGTACTAAATAGGTGCCTTAAATGTGCCAACCAAATGGCAAACATTTAGTTCGATTATGACCAAAGGCAAGACTTTGGCATACTTAGGAATTTGCACAAGTAACAGTAACAGGAAAATGTTTAACACCTGTAGCCATTAGAGAACTGGAAAGCAAACTTATACCAGAAGACCATACTATCTATGTAAGAAAGAGAACCATCAAAATAATAACAACAATTCAATTCCTGGCAGAGGAGTGGAGGAAAAAGAACACAGGCTGTCAGACAGTGAGAGAGGAGATTAACCCATCATGTATGGAAATCAGTGTGGAGTTTCCTCCAAATAAATACTACTAGAGCAGAACTGTCACGTGATTCAGCAGCATCACTTGGGTTCATATGAAAAGAAGTCAAATACAGCATACAGTAGAGATGCCTGCATATCCATCTAGAGTCCACAACTATTCCTAATATGCAAATTAAATAATCTATGATATCTGCTCACCAGTGAATAAATGGTTAAAAAACTGTGGCACCTATGTGTACTGGAATAACAATCAGTCATAAAGTACAATGATAACATGTCCACTTCAGGCAAATAAATGAAACTGCATATCATCATGATAAGAAAAATATATAGACTCTTAAATACAAGGTTGCCGGCCGGGCGGTGGTGGCGAACGCCTTTAATCCCAGCACTTGGGAGGCAGAGCCAGGCGGATCTCTGTGAGTTCGAGGCCAGCCTGGTCTCCAAAGCGAGTTCCAGGAAAGGCGCAAAGCTACACAGAGAAACCCTGTCTCGAAAAAACCAAAAAAAAAAAAAAAAAATACAAGGTTGCCATAGATATTACAGATCTTGAAGGAGGAAAATATAGCAAGGATAGGTTAATGTAGATGTGTAACTATAAGGTCAAATGAAGGAGAAAAGTAAGAGCAAAATACATAGGGATGTAGGGAGAAAATTTGTCCTAAAAGGCACATGCATATCTGAATATCACGTCATCTTCTTGAGTTAACATGTGCTAAAGGAGAGATGGTAGTTATGCAGAATGAAATAATGTGTCTCTCAAGCAAACAAAGACCAAGTAATCTTTCTAGGACCCATAATTCAGTCAAAATCTGATTACTGCAGAATGACCTGGAGATCAAAGAATAAAAATATAGGATGAGGAGAATAACAGGAGGGAAATACAGTGAGTTTTAGAGAAAAAGACCAAACAAATATGATCAAGAAAAATGTACTTTATTCAGGATAGGAAAGCAGAGTGGCAACAACCCAACAAAATTGACTGACAGTTTTGAAAACATCCTCAGACCCCAGGATGGAAGCTGCTGCTCTTCACTCTGATTAACAGGGACACTGAACCAGTGTGGAAGGATCATTGTCAGCAGCTCCTTGACTGCAGAAGCAGAAGCAGAACAGCCTCAGGGAACACCTTCCCTGCCAGGAATCAACATAGACACATGGAAGGTGGAAGTTGGAGAAGATTCTTCTGCATCCTTGAGAGACTTTGAAGGGAAGATGGGAGTGTTTCTGTGAAAGTGTCAGAGACAGATTTCCTTCTACTTTCTTGCTCCTGGTGACAGGTGAAGCAGTTACTTGCTCTTGGGTGGGCACTTCTGCTGGCAGGATGGAGGAGGTTACACAGGAGGACATTTCTGCTGGCATGGCTGAGGTGGGCAGGGCTCAGGGCACTTTGGGGGAGGACAAGGCTCTGGGCACTGTGGAGAAGGACAAGGCTCTGGACACTTTGGGGGAGGACAAGGCTCTGGGCACTTTGGGGGAGGACAAGGCTCTGGGCACTGTGGGGGAGGACAAGGCTCTGGGCACTGTGGAGGTGGGCACACAGGAGGAGGCTGGCAGGGCTGCTTGCACTGTTGTTGTTGGTAAGACATCGTGCTGAAGTCTCAGGATCTGAAAGACATTACATGAGAGTGTTCAGGGATGATCCACACAGAGAAGACTGATGGACACATGGAACATCAGATCCATTTCTCTCTCCAGGCATGCATATATTCCCCTATTCGTGCTTTAGAACAGGCTGGCATTTCCCTTTCCTATCAGCAATCTGTGGCACAAGATTTAGGAAATAACCTTTTTTTTCATGCCTTTTTGCTGTGAGAAAATATTTTGTTCCAATGAAACAAATAAGGCTGATTTCACACTAAACATCTTCAAGACAGGCATTCTCAAGTTCTAGAACCCTGACCAATCTCAGAAACAATTCCTGCCCCACTTGTCACTTGTGACATCCCAGCAAGTTGTCTTGAGTTGCAGAATTGGGAACTGCTCAGGAAAATCCCAGGTTCTAATACCTGCTAAGGTTTAGGGCTGTAAAAAGGACAACAAAAGATGCATGTGAAACAGAAAAATACTCAGTTCATTCACCTACCAAATAAAAGGAAGAGCCATCTATCAGAGTGGACTAGTGTATCCACTGCTAAATTTCTGGCTGCTAGGTAGATACCTGGCATCCCTTGATCACAACAGGACTCATCACACTTACTCCCTCAAAACTGACTACAGCACATAAGAAGACCATAAAGACAGACCAGATCAACAAATGACACTCACCAGGTTCTTCAAAGAAGTCCAGGACTTGAGTACCAGGAGTCTGCAGTCATGCAGCAAAGGTCCCTTTTATAGGACTGGTTGTCCAGCCCAGTGGAAGTACAGATGACTGACAGTGGGCAGGTCCAAGAATTTCCCAACCAAAATGCAAATCCATGCATGACTGGCTGGACTGGGACTCTACAAAGTAGGAAATATCCTTTTCCAGGACATCATCCCTGTAAAGTTCTGTGACTCAGTGGGCCCTCTTGTCTTTTCAGTTTCAGCAAGAACTCCCTGGTTGTCTGAGTTGTCTTCCTTGATTGAAGACATTATTTCTTTTCTCTATTACATCTCTCTGTGTTCTGTGTGTTGGGCTTCAGCTCACTGATGCTCTTTGATTCATTGGCCCATTTATATTCCTGTTTCCAAGGTATAATCTGCCTATGTGCTGAAAGAAGGAAAATGTTACTAGGGACATCAGCTGTGGATTCAGATTCATCTTTGACAACCCTGTTCCCAGAAAGAGGTTATGTCTCCCTCCTATGTTGAATTCTTTTCTATAACCATAGAAAGTGGAATAAGCTGTTCATGGGGGAGTATGATGGGCTTGGGCCTTATCCTGGGCCTCTTTAAGACTACAATCTCAAACGACATACTGGTGGTATATGTTTAGACTCCACTCTGATGATGACCATAAGACTGCTTATCAAGTTGCTTTATAATTAGAGATGGAAGAATAGAATGAGGAAGATGAAACAAAGCCATTACTAGCTCCAGCTCTGCTCTGAGATGCACACAGGTACTGAATCAACCTCAGTGAAGTATGTCAGCTTCCTGTGACTGTCAATGCTTCAGACAGTAAGGAAGGGTTTGGCAGAGAATGCCATTGTCCATGTCACTGAAGGGAAAGAGACATCAGTTCTAGACCTGAGGCCAGGTACCATGAAATGTACCACCAGTGGATGGCTCATAATGGTTAGTACACATACCATAGAGCTATGTGAGTAGGAGACTTACTACTCTCCATATTTGCATATCACACCTAAATCATCATCTTAGGCAATGTCTGGACTCAGTCATGCCCAATTACAAAATTGCCTACTGATCTGGGATGCCAGTATCAGACAGAGTCAGTTAACATGAGGTTCTTCTTCTGAATATAGCCCACTCAGAAGAGTACAAAGGGTTAAAGAAAACAATGCAAAGCCTTACATTGTCATGGGACATGGGAGGGCATGGTAGATTAGGGCATATAAAAAGAGATGATTAATGTTAAAGACCTTTTGGAAAAACCATATGGAAATCTACTAATCTAAAACCTGACTAAAATATATACATATATAATATGCAGTTAACTTACAACTGGAAGGGTTACAGTTCCACAAGTAGATGCCTCATATTAACAAATATAATCTTCAGTAGCAGTAGTAGCTGACCAATTTTTAGTTGCTAGCTAGTGATGTCCCAAAGAATGACTCCACTCTCTTACAGAATACTGCCTGTAACTTGTCAATCCTCCAGAACAACATGGTAAGACCCCATTTCTGTAGACATCAATGCTTAAGTCAGAGAACATGGAGAAATCTAGGAGGTATTCACCTGTTCACTTCATTCCTATTGACCAGCCCTCATGGTATTAGAAGGTGCTATGTACACTGGTTAAGAGAAAAGTGCTCACCATCCTCATCCAGTTCTGAACACTACAGCAAGCTACAACAATGACTGCCTTGGCAAGATATACCCACTGGTATGACAGTGGCACAAATGTATGGGAACAACCAACAACTTTCTGTTTGATTTAAGGCCCTTCTCTGTAAGACAAAGTGCATATCTAGCACTGGTAAGGTGAGAGAATCTATAGCTAGATAGAACATAGGCCCTGGGGGATAATACAATTAACACTATTTTTCTGCTAAATGGACAAAGAAACAAATAATTCCATGAGACTTATTGTTATAATCATATCAATATATCTCTCATTCATCATCTGAGAAGCTTCTTCTTGCAGAAGATTATTAATAAAAGGACCTGCAACTGATAAATGGTGCTGTGAGTAAGAAATTATTCATTTGCTCAGCATTACCCTCACAGAGGAGTTGGCAGAAAGATTATAAGATCTAGAGATAGAAACTGCTTTCTTCACATATTCGAGCTGTTAAACATTTGAATTCATAACTATTGAAACAGCAGGCATAAGTAAGTGAAGCTCAAACCAGACCAAAAGTCATCACACAAGAGAATGGAAGTATGAAATACCACCACTAGCTGAGGAGTTATTAGCAGTTGATGGGTTCTGAGAGAAGGAATGTCAGTTTTCTTCAATGATGTGACACTTGCTATGCTGTCCACACTCCAGGGTAGGCTCCACTGTCTAGAATAGCTGGACTACATAAACTGGAAGTGATGGAGACAAGGACAAGCAAATAAAAAGAAATCAAAGTTGGGTAGCAAGAGAAGGAAAGGCACAGTGGGTAGATGACAGTTGTGGGTAAGCCAGTATGTGAATATCATTGAAATGCATTGGATAAAAATTTCTTTTTTTTGGGGGGGGGAGGGTTTATTAGGATTGAGTTCTACACCACTGTTCGTCATCAAAGGACATTAGGACTGGAACTCAAACATGTTAGGAACCTAGAGGCAGGAGCTGATGCAGAGGCCATAGAGCAGTGCTGCTTAATGACTTTCTCTCCGTGGATTGCTCATCCATATTTCTCAAAGAACCTAGTACCACCAGCCAGGGATAACACCACCCACAATGAACTGGGCCCTCCCCCATCAATCATTAATTATGAAAATATCCTACAGGCTTGCCAAAGCCCAATTCTATGGATGCATTTAATTTTTTTATTTTTTTATTTTTTATTAATTTTTTTATTTTATTTTATTTCAAAATATAATTTAATTCTACATATCAACCACATATTCCCTTGTTCTCCTCCCTCCCACCCCCCTTCCCCCCATCCCACCCCCATTCCCATTTCTTCCAGGGCAAAGACTCCCGCGAGGATTGAGATCAACCTGGCAAACTCATTCCAGGCAGGTCCAGTCCCCTCCTCCCAGGCTGAGCCAAGTGTCCCTGTATAAGCCCCAGGTTTCAAACAGCCAACTCATGCACTGAGTACAGGACCCGGTCCCACTGCCTGGATGCCTCTCAAACAGATCAAGCCAATGAACTGTCTCATCTATCCAGAGGGCCTAATCCAGTTGGGGGCCCCTCAGCCATTGGTTCATAGTTCATGTGTTTCCATTCGTTTGGCTATTTGTCCCTGTGCTTTTTCCAATCTTGGTCTCAACAATTCTTGCTCATATAAACCCTCCTCTTTCTCGCCAATTGGACTCCTGGAGCTCAACCTGGGGCCTGGCCGTGGATCTCTGCATCCAGATCCCTCAGTAGTTGGATGGGGTTTCTAGCACGACAATTAGGGTGTTTGGCCATCCCATCACCAGAGTAGGTCAGTTCGGGCTGTCTCTCGACCATTGCCAGCAGTCTGTTGTGGGGGTATCTTTGTGGATTTCTGTGGGCCTCTCTAGCACTTTGCTTCTTCCTATTCTCATGTGGTCTTCATTTACCATGGTCTCCTATTCCTTGTTCTCCCTCTCTGTTGTTGATCCAGCTGGGATCTCCCGCTCCCCCAAGCTCTCTTTCCCTCGAACTTCGCCCCTCATTACCCCCACTCACATCCAGGCTGTTCATGTAGATCTCATCCATTTCTCCGTCATTGGGCAATCCCTGTATCTTTCTTGGGGTCCTGTTTTCAAGGTAGCCTCCCTGGTGTTGTGAGTAGCAGTCCAGTCATCCTTGTTCCACATCTAGTATCCTCCTATGAGTGAGTACATACCATGTTTGTCTTTCTGAGTCTGGGTTACCTCACTCAGGATGATTTTTTCTAGATCCATCAATTTGCCTGCAAACCTCATGATGTCATTGTTTTTCTCTGCTGAGTAGTATTCCATTGTGTATATGTACCACATTTTATTTATCCATTCTTCAGTTGAAGGGCATCTAGGTTGTTTCCATGTTCTGGCTATTACAAACAATGCTGATATGAACATAGCTGAGCAAGTGCCCTTGTGGTATGGTTGAGCATTCCTTGGGTATATGCCCAAGAGTGGTATAGCTGGATCTTGGGGGAGATTGATTCCCAATTTTCTAAGAAAGTGCCATATTGATTTCAAAAGTGGTTGTACAAGCTTGCATTCCCACCAGCAGTAGAGGAGAGTTCCCCTAGCTCCACATCCTCTCCAGCATAAGGTTTCTTCAGTGTTTTTGATCTTAGCCATTCTGACAGGCGTAAGGTGGTATCTCAGAGTTGTTTTGATTTGCATTTCCAGGATTAACAAAGATGATATTATAAAGAGGGCATCATATTAAAGGACATATGTAAGTCTCGAAAGACAAGTATCACATGTTTGCTCTCATGTCTTGAGACAGCAGATAAAGGAGAATACAATCTATCTGCTTATATTTAAATGTCATGATGAAATCCTTCACTTTTTACAATAATATATTCTAATTACATTATTTTGAAAATAGAGGCTACTAATTCTGACATCACTGGCACCAGAGTCAGAGCAGCTGAATCTCTTTTCAGGCTGAGACACCAAAGGTGAGTTCCTTCCACAGAAGCTCAATTAAGAGTTGTCACAGATGAACAGGATGCACAGCACACTTTCTCCAGGTGTGAACCTTAAAGACAGAGACATGGAACACATATGTGCACAGATGTTATACACACACCATGGTTCTTCCTAGCTGTCATATGTCATTGAGCTAAACATTTGATTCTCTTACTTTTATATCCTTTTCAGGGTAGATGACCCTAAGCTCAACATGCATATTTTTACCCTGACTTCTAAGGAATTTTATGACAGGCCTGAACAGGAAGTTCTAATTTTTCCTGCTTCTTCATTTAATTTAATATTTTAATATGATATAATCTATGCCACTAAGAAAAAGTCCCTAAAAAAATCTAGGTTCTACATTAACATAGGGAAGAATCAATAACAAGCAACAGGAGGTAAATGCAGACCTCACATGCTTTGGCTGGAATCCCTTTCTCACACATTTGTACATTTAACAATATTTGACTTGTTTTTGGATGATGTTGTTGACACTGTAAAAAATGGTCATGGAAGGGTGATGGACATGTGTATGGTACTCATAGTGACGTAATAATACTCAAGGTGGCAATAATAGAGGAGGAGGCAGTGCTAACTGCTGTCTTATCTTCATTTGCTGTGATAGTGATTCTAGTATTGGTGATGATGATGGGGATGTTGCAGATGGAAATGGGGATGGGAGTGAATGTAGTGGAAATGATGTGGAGCAGCAGCTTCCAATTCTATCACTTACTTGGTACTAAATAGGTACCTTGAATGTGCCAATCAAATGGCATGCTTTAGTTCAATTACGACCAAAAGTAAGACTTTGACATCCTTAAGATTTTTCACAAAGAACAGTAAGAAGAAAATGTTCAACATCTGTAGCCATTAGAGAACTGGAAAGCAAACCTACACCAGAAGACCATTCTACCTGTGTAAGAAAGAGTACCTTCAAATTAACAACAATTCAATTCCTGGCAGAGGAGTGGAGGAAAAAGAACACAAGCTGTCAGACTGTGAGAGAGGAGATTAACCCATCAAATATGGAAATCAGTGTGGGGTTTCCTCCAAAGAAGTAACACTAAAGCAGAACTGTCATATGATTCAGCAACATCACTTGGGTTCATATGAAAAGAAGTCAAATAGAGCATACAATAGAGATGTCTGCATATCCATCTAGAGTTCAGGTCAACTCCTAATATGCAAATTAAATAATCTATGATATCTGCTCACCAGTGAATGAATGGGTTAAGAAAATGTAGGATCTATGTGTGCTGGAGTAATAATCAGTCATAAAGAATAATGATATCATGTATGGTGATATTTTATTTGTGCTGAAATGTTATTTTATTTGTATGTTATTAAATAAAGTTGCCTGGGGTTCAGAGCTAATAGCAAGCCATTTAACAGATTTCTGGCAGTGGTAGTACACACCCTTAATCCTGATCACATGACAGGCAGATCTCTGTGTGTTCAAGGATACAGCCAGCATGGAGACACATGCCTTTAATCTCAATACCATCCATACAGACCTGGAGGTCTGTATAGACAGGCAGTGATGAGGAGGTCATGTAGTTGGGTTTACAACCAATGAGAAGGCAGAACAGAAAGTCAATAAAAAGACAGACACACAGGAAGTAGGTCTTTTTCTGAGGGGAAAGACGACATTGACAGCGAGGGGTAAGAAGGCAGTCTTGGTCTTAGCTCTTGGCTGCTGCTCTGACTTCTTGGGCTTTTAACTCTGCATTTGGCTCTGTGTTTCTTATTTAATAAAACTGTTCAGAATTACATCTACAATCATGTCCTCTTCAGGCAAATAAAATAAACTGCTTATCATTTTTTAAAGAAAAATACATATACTCTTTTTTGGGGGGTGTATATAGCACATAGTCTTTTTATTTATTTATATCTTTCAAATCACTCTATATTTCTTCACTTTCTGTTTTTATATCTACCTGTTAGAGTAGTAGCTTAATTGACTATATCATGACTTATTGTCAGTGCTCTATGACGGAGGGTTTATGTTGCTTTCAATATTTTTAAGTCTTGTTAATGACTATAATTATTAAATTACTTAATAGTTACACATCTACATCAGCCTATCCTTGTTATGTTTTTCTCCTTCAATATTTTAAACACTTTCTCCCACTCCCCCCAACACCTTCCCCTATCCCACCCACATCTCCTCCTCATAGAGGGTAAGGCCTCCCTTGGGTAGTCAACACAGGCTGGCATACCAAGTTGGGGCCGGGCCTAGCTGCTCCCCGCTGCATCAAGGCTGAGTAAGGCATTGAACTGTAGGGAATGGACTCTAAAAACCAGTTCACATACCCAGGATAAGTCCTGATCCCATTGCCAGGGGACCCACAAATGCATCAAGCTATGAAACTTTCACCCACATTCAGAGGGCCTAGTTTGGTCCCATGTAGGCTCCCCAGCTGTCAGTCCAGAGTCCATGAGCTCCCAGTAGCTTGGGTCAGCTATCTCTGTGGTTTTTCCCATTGTGATCCTGACCCCTGTTGCACTCAGATGGGTGTCTACCCTAATTGTCATCATAGAACCTACATCCAGTAACTGATGGAAGCAGATGCAGATGAGACCCATAGCTAAGCACTCAGCCAAGATCCTGGAGTTCAGTTGAAGAGAGGGAGGAAGGATTATAGCAGCATAATCTTCTGAAGTGAGCATTTGCTGAAGGAGAATTGTTGTTATACAGAATGAAATAACATGTCTCTCAAGCAAATAAACACTAAGTAATCTTTGTTATGACCCAAAATGCAGTCAAAACCTGATTACAGCAGAATGACCTGTGGATCAAATAATAAAAATAAAGGAACAGGAGCATATTGGGAAGGTAATAGAGTGAGTTTTAGAAAAAAAGAGCACATGACTACTATCAACCAGATTGTACTTTATTCAGGAGATGAAACCAGGGTGGCAGCAACCTAACCAAGGTGACTAACAGTTTTGGAAAACCTCCTCTGAGTGCCCCAGGAAAAAGCTGCTGCTCTTCACTCTGAGTAACAGGGGCACAGAACCAGTGTGGAAGGATCATCCTTAGCAGCCCCTTGACTGCAGAAGCAGAACAATCTCAGAGGAACACCTTCCCTATCAGGAATCAACACAGACACATGGAGGGTGGAGGGTGGAGAAGATTCTTCTGCATCCATGAAAGACTTTGAAGAGAAGATGGGAGTGTTTCTACAGAAGCCTCAGAGACAGATTTCCTTCTCCTCTCTTGATCCTGGTGACAGTGTAAGCACTCACTTGCTCTTGGGTGGGCACTTCTGCTGGCAGGCTGGAGGAGGTTGCACAGGAGGACATTTCTGCTGGCATGGCTGAGGGGGGCAGGGCTCTGGGCACTTTGGGGGAGGACAAGGCTCTGGGCACTGTGGAGGAGGACAAGGCTCTGGGCACTTAGGGGGAGGACAAGGCTCTGGGCACTTTGGGAGAGGACAAGGCTCTGGGCACTGTGGAGGTGGGCACACAGGAGGAGGCTGGCAGGGCTGCTTGCACTGTTGTTGTTGGTAAGACATCGTGCTGAAGTCTCAGGATCTGAAAGACATTACATGAGAGTGTTCAGGGATGATGTACACAGAGAAGACTGATGGACACATGGAACATCAGATTCATTTCTCTCTCCAGGCATGCACATATTTCCCAATTTATGCTTTAGAACATGCTGGCGTTTATGGCACAAGCTTTACAAAATAATCTTTGTTTCATGTCTTTTTGTTATGAGAAAATATATTGTTCCAATGAAACAAATAAGGCTGTTTTCACACAGAAACATCTTCAAGACAGGCATTCTCAGGTTCTAGAACCTTGACCAATCTCAGATCCAATCCCTGCCTTTCTTGTCACTTGTGACAAAAAGCAGCAGGCTGTGTGGAGTTGCAGAATTGAGAACTGCTCAGGTAAATCCCAGGTTCTAATGCCTGCTAAGGTAGAGAGCTATAAAAATTACACCAAACGATGCACATGAAACAGAAAAATGCTCTGTTCATTCACATAACAAATAAAAGGAATAGCCACCTGTCACAGTGGACTAGTGTGACCATTGCTAAATTTCTGGCTGCTAGGTAGATACCTGTCATCCCATGATCACAATGGAACTCATCAAAGTTACTCCCTCAAAACTGACTACAGCATCTAAGAAGACCATAAAGACAGACCAATTCAACAAATGACACTCACCAGGTTCTCCAAAGTAGGCCAGGACTTGAGTACCAGGAGTCTGCAGTCATGCAGCAAAGATTCTTTTTATAGGACTGGTTGCCCAGCCCAGTGGAAGTACAGATGACTGACAATGGGCAGGTCTGAGAATTTCCCAACCAAAATGCAAATCCATGCATGACAGGATGGACTGGGACTCTACAAAGTAGGAAATATCCTTTTCCAGGACATCATCCCTGTAAAGTTCTGTGACTCAGTGGGCCCTCTTGTCTTTTCAGTTTCAGCAAGAACTCCCTGGTTGTCTGAGTTGTCTTCCTTGATTGAAGACATTATTTCTTTTCTCTATTACATCTCTCTGTGTTCTGTGTGTTGGGCTTCAGCTCACTGATGCTCTTTGATGTATTGTCCCATTTATATTCCTGTTTTCAAGATATAATCTGCCTGTGTGATGAAAGAAGGAAAGTGTTATTGGGGACCTTGGATGTGGATTCAGCTTCATCTTTGACAACCCTGTTCCCAGGGACAGGTCATGTCTCCTGCCTAGGTTGAATTCTTTTCTCTAACCACGGGAAATGGAATATGCTGTTCATGTGGGAGTATGATGAGCTTAGGCCTTATCCTGACCCTCTTCAAGACTGACATCTCAAACCACATACTGGTGGTATATGTTTAGACTCCCCTCTGATGATGATCATAAGACTGCTTATCATGATGGTTGAGGAACAAAAATTGCAACTGCCCTAAGCATGTTCTTGCTTAGGTGGTTAGTATGAAGACTCATAATCTCTAACAGTTACCTTGTGAGAAGGGCTGTGGAGACCACTTGTGGGTGTGATACACTCAAATGGAGTTTCTATGAGAACTTTCAAAACTTACAGTGTTTTGAATGCTTCATATATACACATGTGCTCATTCTTACACATGCACACCAACAGTCAGAGAGAGCATCAGAGATGGACAGACAAAGACAGACAGAGCACCAGTCTTACATTTTTACCTGCCACATAGCTACATATATCACTTCCTAATTTTCTAATGTATATTAATGATTCATTACTACATAATAACGGACAGAATGAATTAAAAATTGGGTGTTTTGGATGAGGTTTCTAGCACGACAATTAGGGTGTTTGGCCATCCCATCACCAGAGTAGGTCAGTTTGGGCTATATCTCGACCATTGCCAGCAGTCTGTTGTGGGAGTATCTTTGTGGATTTCTGTGGGCCTCTCTAGCACTTTGCTTCTTCCTATTCTCATGTGGTCTTCATTTACCATGGTCTCCTATTTCTTGTTCTCCCTCTCTGTTGTTGATCCAGCTCTGGATGCAGAGATCCATGGCTGGGCCCCGGGTGGATCTCTGGGAGTCCAATTATCGAGAATAAGGAGGGTTTATATGAGCGAGAATTGTTGAGACCAAGGTTGGATAAAGCACAGGGACAAATAGCCAAATGAATGGAAACACATGAACTATGAACCAATGGCTGAGGGGTCACCAACTGGATCAGGCCCTCTGAATGGATGAGACAGTTGATTGGCTTGATCTGTTTGAGAGGCATCCAGGCAGTGGGACCGGGTCCTGTGCTCATTGCATAAGTTGGCTGTTTGAAACCTGGGGCCTATGCAGGATTGCTTGGCTCGGCCTGGGAGGAGGGGACTGGACCTACCTGGACTGAGTCTACCAGGTTGATCTCAGTCCGAGGGGAAGGCTTTGCCCTGGAGGAGGTGGGAATGGGGAGTGGGCTGGGGAGAAGGTGAGGGGGGCAGGAAGGGGGAGAACAAGGGAATCCATGGCTGATATGTAGAACTGAATTGTATTGCAAAATAAAAATTAAAAAAAATAAATAAATAAAAATTGGGTGTTTTGTAATTTTTGATTGACTTTGAACACTTTGAGGGGAAACCCAGGCTCTGGGAACTTTGGAGAAAGACAAAGCCAGAACACATTCAGAGTGGACAAGTCTCTGGGCACTTAGTGGGTAGGCACATAGGATGAAGCTGACAGGGTTGCATGCACTGCTGCTGTTGGTAAGACATTGTGCTGAAGTCTCAGGATCTGAAAGACCCTGTGGAACAATTCTCACAAGAGGTGATTTCCCACAGAGAAAGAATCTCAAGTTTATGAAACATCAGAACTATTCCTCAATCTAACTCCTGCTCAAGACTTCCTGACTTTCCCTTCCATATCACCATTTTGATTCATTAACCTACAAAACCATCCCTTTTTTCACATTTTCTGTGAGTAAACATGTTTCTTACAAAGGATAGAGTGATGGTACTTGCAGGAAACATTATCTTCAAGAAGGGCTGCCTGAAGTTTAAGTTCTAGAATACTGAGCTCTCTCAGTGATGACAGTAACTGCTGTCATGGTTATCACTTGTGATGTCCCAGGAAGTTGGCTATGATATAAAACAAAACACAGAAGAATGTAAAAATCTAGAAACTACTAATAGAACAATGAGTTCAGAGAAGAGAAAAATATTAATTTTGGTCCTTTAAGTTGCTTTATAATTAGAGATGGAAGAATAGAATGAGGAAGATGAAACAAAGCCATTACTAGCTCCAGCTCTGCTCTGAGAAGCACACAGGTACTGAATCAACCTCAGTGAAGCATGTCAGCTTCCTGTGATTGTCAATGCTTCTGACAGCAAGGAAAGGTTTGGCAGAGAATGTCATTGTCCATGTCCCTGAAGGGAAAGAGTCATCAGTTCTAGACCTGAGGCCAGGTACCATGAAATGTACCACCAGTGGATGGCTCATAATGGTTAGTACACATACCATAGAGCTAGGTGAGTAGGAGACTTACTACTCTCGATATTTGCATATCACACCTAAATCATCATCTTAGGCAATGTCTGGTCTCAGTCATGACAAATTACAAAATTGCCTACTGATCTTGGATGCCTGTATAACAGAGTCAGTTAACATGAGGTTCTTCTGAATATAACCCCATCAGAAGGGTACAAAGGGTTAAAGGGAAAGTATGCAAAGGGAAAATTTATATTGTCATGGAACATGAGAGGGAAGGGTAGATCAGGGCATATAGTGCATATGCAGAGAAATGATTAATGTTAAAGCCTTTTTGAAAAAGTCATATGGAAATCTACTACTCTAAAACCTTACTAAAATACATACATATATAAAATGTTTTAATGCAGTTACCTTACAACTTCAGAGAGTGGTGCAATACCACAAGTAGATAACTAATATCAACCAAAGCAATCCTCAGTAGCTGTAATAGCTTACCTCGTTTTAGTTGCTAATAAGTGTAGTCCTATAGACTAACTCTACTACCTTACATACTATTGCCTATAACTTGTCTGTCCACCAGAACTTCAAGGTAAGGCCCGTTTTCTGTAGAAATCAAAGTTTAAGTCAGAGAACATGGAGAACTCTAGGAGGTACTCACCTGTTCACTTCATTTTTATTGATCAGTCCTTATGATATTTGAAGGTGCTATGTACACTGCAGAAGAGGACAAGTACTTACCATCCTCACCCAGTTCCGAACACTACAAGCTACAACAACGACTGCCTTGACAAGATAGGACCACTGGTATGACAGAGGCAAAAAAAGTATGGGAGCAACCAACCACTTTCTGTTTGGATTTAAGGTCCTACTAGATGAGACAAAGTGCATATCTAGCAGTATTATAGGGGAGAGAATCTATAGCTAGATAGGACATAGGCCTTGGGAGATAATCCAATTAGTACTATTATTCTGCTAAACAGACAAAGCAAAATAACAATTCCTAATGATTTATTGCTATACTCACATCACTATATCTTTCCTTCATCATCTGAGAAGCTTCTCTTTGCAGTAGTATTAACATAGAAACCCACAACTGGTAAATGATGCTGAGAGTAAGAAACTAGTGTTTGTTCAGCATTACCCTCACAGAGGAGTAGGCATCAAAACTGTAAGAACTAGAGGTTGAAACTGTTTTCTTCACATAACCAGGCCATTTAATGTTGGAACTCATAACTACTGACACAGGATACACATGTCATGGGAAAGCTCAAGACAGACCAAAAGTCATCACACAAGAGAAGGGAAGTAAGAAATGCCACCACTAACTGAGGAGTTATTAGCAGTTGATAGGTTCTGAGAGAAGGAATGTCAGTTTTCTTCAAAGATGTGACACTTGCTATGTTGTCCACACTCCAGGGTAAGCCCCACTGTCTAGAATACCTGGACTATACAAACTGGAAGTGATGGGGACCAGGACAAGCAAGTAAAAAGAAATCAAAGTTGGGTGGCAAGAGAATGAAAGGCACAGTGGGAAAATGACAGTTGTGGGTTGCCAGTGAGTGAATATCATTGAAATGTATGGATGATATTTTCAAAGAATTAATAAAGATGATATTATAAAGGGGGTATTATATTAAGGGACACATGTAAGTCTCCAAAGACAAGTATTACGTGCATGATCACCTATGTCAAGGCAGTGGATGAAGGTGAATACAGTCCATATGCATATATTTAAGTATCATGATGAAATCATTCACTTTTTACAAAGATATATACTAACTACATTATTTTAAAAATAGAGACTACTAATTCTGAGGGCACTGTCAGAACAGCTGAAATTCTTTCCAGGCTGAGACACCAATCATGAGTTTCTTCCATAGAAGCTCCTTGAGGAGCAGCCACAGATGAACAGGATCACAGCACACTTTCTCCAAGTGTGAACCTTCAAGACCAGTGACGTGGAACACATGTGTGCACAGACATTTATACACACAACAGTCATTTCCAGTTTTCATCTATCATTAAACTAAATATTTGATTCTTGTAGATTTATGATCTTTTCAGTGTAGTTGACCCTGAGTTCAACCTGCATATATTTATTTGAATTCTAAGCAATTTTATGAACCAAAGACAGGCCTGAACATGAAGTTCTAATATTTTACTAGTTCTTCATTTAATTTTATATTTAGCTATGATATAATCTATGCCATCAAGAAAAAGTCCCTCAAAAAATCAAGACTCTACATAATTATATGAAAGAAACAATAACAAGAAACAGAAGGTCTGATGCAAGCATCACATTCCTTGGATGGAATCTCTTTCTCACACATTTGTACATTTAACAATATTTAACTTTTTTTTTTATAACGTCTTTGGTGCTAGAGATAATGGTCATGGAAATGATGACAGCCATGGATATGATGCTCTTAGTTGAGTAATAGTAGTGAGGGTGACAATGACAGTGGAGGTAGTCAGTGCTGGTTGGTGTCATAACTTGTAGTGATTGTGGTAATGATTCTAGTATTGGTGATGATGATGGGGATGTTGCAGATGGAAGTGGGGATGAGAGTGAATGTAGTGGAAATGATGTGGAGCAGCAGCTTCCAATCCTATCACTTACTTGGTACTAATTAGATGCCTCTAAATGTGCCAATCATATGACACACATTAGTTCAATTATGACCAAAGGCAAGGTTTGGTATACTTAGGAGTTTCCACAAGTACAGGAACAAGAAAATTTTCAACATCTGTAGCCATTAGAGAACTGGAAAGCAAACCTACACCAGAAGACCATTCTACCCGTGTAAGAAAGAGAAGCATCAAAATAATAACAACAATTCAATTCCTGGCAGAGGAGTGGAGGAAAAAGAACACAAGCTGTCAGACTGTGAGAGAGTAGATTAACCCATCAAATATGGAAATCAGTGTGGGGTTTCCTCCAAAGAAGTAACACTAGAGCAGAACTGTCGCATGATTCAGCAGCATCACTTGGGTTCATATGAAGAGAAGTCAAATAGAGTATACACTAGAGATGCCTGTATATCCATCTAGAGTTCAGAACTACTCCTAATATGCAAGTTAAATAATCCACCTATATTCTCACCAGTAAATGAATGGGTTAAAAAATGTGACAAGCACATATGGACAGCAATAGTTGGACTTAACAAAAAAAAAAAGAAAAGAAGACATGATGGTGAGAGGGAGATATGTTGCAGGGGTTCTTGAGAGAGTGAGCAGGGAGAAGACAGTAGATAAGATCATGCTATATTGTATGCTTGCATGAAATTGTCAAGCAATAAATTTAAACTATCCTGGGGAAAAATGTGGCATCTATGTGTGCTGGAATAATTATCAGTCATAAAGCACAGTGATATTATGTCCTCATCAGGCAAATAAATGAAACTGCTTATTATTGTGTTAAGAAAAATGTATATGCTCTTATATACAGTGTTAGCATTTGTGTTTCAAATATTAAAAGAGAAAAACATAACAAGGATAGGTTGTTGTAGATGTGTAACTATTACATTAGTAAAGGGGACAAGTGACAGCAAAATACTTATGGGTATAGGGAGAAAGTATGTCCTAAGTGGCACATTCAGGTCTAAATACAGCAAAATCTTTTTTTATAATTTTTTTTATTTTTAAAAAAATTTCTTTCCTTTTACATACCAAGCCCTATTCCCCCTCCCTCCTTTTCTCCCACTCCCCCCTCCCCGTACCTTCCCCTATCCTACCGCCATCTCCTCCTCATAGAGGGTTAGGCCTCCCTTGGGTAGTCAACATAGGCTGGCATACCAAGTTGGGGCCGGGCCTAGCCGCTCCCCCCTGCATCAAGGCTGAGTAAGGCATTGAACTGTAGAGAATGGACTCTACAAAACCAGTTCACATACCAAGCATAAGTCCTGATCCCACTGCCAGGGGACCCACAAACACATCAAGCTATGAAACTTTCACACACATTCAGAGGGTCTAATGTGATCCTATGCAGGCTCCCCAGCTGTCAGTCCAGAGTCCATGAGCTCCCAGTAGCTTGGGTCAGCTATCTCTGTGGTTTTTCCCATTATGATCCTGACCCCTGTTGCACTCAGATGGGTGTCTACCCTAATTGTCATCATAGAACCTACATCCAGTAATTGATGGAAACAGATGCAGAGACCCACAGCTAAGCACTCAGCCAAGATCCTGGAGTTCAGTTGAAGAGAGGGAGGAAGGATTATAGCAGCATAATCTTCTGAAGTGAGCATTTGCTGAAGGAGAATTGTTGTTATACAGAATGAAATAACATGTCTCTCAAGCAAATAAACACTAAGTAATCTTTGTTATGACCCAAAATGCAGTCAAAACCTGATTACAGCAGAATGACCTGTGGATCAAAAAATAAAAATAAAGGAACAGGAGAATATTGGGAAGGTAATAGAGTGAGTTTCAGAAAAAAAAGAGCACATGACTACTATCAACCAGATTGTACTTTATTCAGGAGATGAAACCAGAGTGGCAGCAGCCTAACCAAAGTGACTGACAGTTTTGGAAAACCTCCTCTGAGTGCCCCAGGAAAAAGCTGCTGCTCTTCACTCTGAGTAGCAGGGGCACTGAAGCAGTGTGGAGATCATCCTCAGCAGCCCCTTCACTGCAGAAGCAGAACAACCTCAGGGGAATGCCTTCCCTATCAAGGGTCAACACAGACACATGGAGGGTGAAGTGTGGAGAAGGTTCTTCTGCAACCATGAGAGACTTGGAAGGGAAGATGGGAGTGTTTCTACAGAAGCGTCAGAGACAGATTTCCTTCTCTCTCTTGGTCCTGGTGACAGCGGAAGCACTCACTTGCTCTTGGGTGGGCACTTCTGCTGGCAGGATGAAGGAGGTTGCACAGGAGGACATTTCTGCTGGCATGGCTGAAGGGGGCAAGGCTCAGGGCACTTTGGGGGAGGACAAGACTCTGGGCACTGTGGAGGAAGACAAGGCTCTGGGCACTTAGGGGGAGGACAAGGCTCTGGGCACTTTGGAGGAGGACAAGGCTCTGGGCACTTTGGGGGAGGACAAGGCTCTGGGCACTTAGGGGGAGGACAAGGCTCTGGGCACTTGGGAGGACAAGGCTCTGGGCACTGTGGAGGTGGGCACACAGGAGGAGGCTGGCAGGGCTGCTTGCACTGTTGTTGTTGGTAAGACATCGTGCTGAAGTCTCAGGATCTGAAAGACATTACATGAGAGTGTTCAGGGATGATTCACACAGAGAAGACTGATGGACACATGGAACATCAGATTCATTTCTCTCTCCAGGCATGCACATATTCCCCAATTCATGCTTTAGAACATTCTGGCTTTTTCCTTTCCTGTCAGCAATATGTTGCACTAGCCTTAGGAAATCCCTTTTGTTTCATGCATTTTCCAGGAGAAAATATTTTGTTCCATTGAAACAAATAAGGCAATTTTCACACAGAGATGTCTTCGACAGACAGCCTCAAGTTCTAGAACCCTGAGCAATGTCAGGGCCAATTCCTGCCTCCCTCGTCACTTGCACATCACAGCAGGTTGTCTGGCGTTGCAGAGTAGAGGACAGCTCAGGTAAATCCCAGGTTCTAATACCTGCTAAGGTATAAGGCTATGGAAAGGACACCAAAAGATGCATATGAAACAGAAATATACTGTGTTCAACTGCACACCAAATTAAAAGAAAAGCCACCACATGTAATCCCTAAAACTTGATTGCAACACATAACAAGGCCATAAAGACAGACCAAATCAACAAATGACACTCACCAGGTTCTTCAAAGTAGGCCAGGGCTTGAGTACTAGGAGTCTGCAGTCATGCAGCCAAGAACCTCTTTATATGTCTGGCTGCCCAGCCCAGCGGAAGCAGAGCTAACTGACAGTGGGCAGGTCCAAGAATTTCCCAACCAAAATGCAAATCCATGTGTGACTGGCTTGACTGAGATTCTACAAAATAGGAAATATCTGTTCCTGGACATCATCACTGTAAAGTGTTGTGACTCAGTGGGCCCTCCTGTCTTTTCAGTTTCAGAAAGATTCCTCTGGTTTTCTAAGTTGACTTTCTTGATTGAAGACAATATTTCTTTTCTCTGTTAAAACTCTCCTGTGTCCTACCTTATATGCCCTATTTGTTACACCCCAGCTTATTGGTAGTCTTTGGTGCATAAGCCCATTTCTGTGCCATGTCAGAGGACATATCTGGGCATCTATTCCGACTCACCTCTTAGGATGATCACAAAACTGCTTATCATGACAGTTGTCTTAGTTAGGGGTACTATTGTGACAATGAAACAGCATGACCAAAGAGCATGTTGGGGAGGAAGGGGTTCATTTGGCTTAACACTTCCACATTGTAGTTCAACTGTGAAGGAAATCAGAACTGGAATTCAAACAGGGCAGTTACCTTGAGTCAGGAGCTGATGTAGAGGCCGTGGACAGGTGCTGCTTAGTAATTTGTTCCTCAAGGTTTGTTCACCTTGCTTTCTTATAGAATGCAGGACCACCAGCCTAGGGATGGCACCACCAACAATGGGCTGAGCCTTCCCCCATCAATCACTAATTTGGAAAATGCTCTACATGCTAGCCTCAGCCTGATCTGATGAAGGCATTTACTCAATTGAAGTTTCCACCTCTCAGGTGACTATCGTTTGTGTCAATTGACATAAATCTAGTTAGTACAACAGCCCAGGACCTTTTTATCATACCTTCCCTAAACATGTTCTTTCTTAGGTGCTTAACGTGAAGACTCAAAAATCTCTCACAGTTCACTTATGTGAAGAGCTGGTGAGACCATATAACTGAAGTTTCTGTGTGAACTTCCAAAGGACACAGAACACTGAATCTTTCACATACAGCACACACACACACACACACACACACACACACACACACACACACACACACTGCGTGGGAGGGAGCGAGGAAGACAGATCATCAGTCTTACATGTTAATCTGCCACCTAGCTACATATATCAATTACTGATTTTCTGAGGCATTCATAATGAATCATAACTGTATAAAAACTGACAGAGTGAAATAAAACTTCAGTGTTTTTATAATATATGATTGGTTTTTTTTCATGTTTTACCATACATATCATACACTATTACAAAAGAAACCATTCTTGGCAATATAACATTTTAGAACAGTATCATCTAAATCATATGACACATGCATTTTAAATTTAAGGACATTGTTGAAAATATCTGAACTTTTATTTAATATCACCAAAACATTCAAACTGTAATAAAATATATTTCAGCATGATAACAATTTCATTTTTCAGTATATTCTTAAAGGGATAGGCCACGTACACAGAAATTCTCTAAGTTAGTTTTATTTTCTAGTCTCTGTCCTATATACTGTCCATGTAAATGTCAATAACAAATGGCTAACTTAAACATTAATACACATCATGCATTGTTATTTGGCCAGTAAAAAAATGAAACTATTTAATTTTTAAAAAACAAACACAGCAGGAGGAAAAATTAACACCCACTAGACAGGAAGAGGAAGACAAATACTGTGTAATTTCACTCATATTTCGACACTAAGAAGTTGATATCACAAAGACTGATAGGAAGACAGTGGTTTCCATGGGAACATTTTGGGTAAGAGATGGATATGGAAAGGTTTCTGAAAGAGTTCTAAGCTACAATTGGATGCAAAAATAAGTTCCATGATGTATTTTACATTGTAAAAACTCTACAAGAAAGAATTATAAGTATTTTTATCCTAAAAGACTTATCATAAATTTTTATCATAAGAAAGTATTTTAGGTGAGAAGTACAATGACCTTGACTTGAACGCTCAGCAATGTTTTCATGCATCGTACTACCCCTCATTATGTACAGTAGGATAAAGTTATACTCATAAATTGAAAGGAAATCTCCAATTAACATGTTTCAGCTGTCTATTTTGATAATTTTAAAGACTCTTAAACACAATAATATATACAGATAGAAGTGAAAAAATGGTACTCCAAACAGATGAAATCAGAAGGCATCCTTGAGTAGGTGACCAGCATCTGGAACAGAAACCCTAAATCCAAACACAGAGGAACTAAGGAGTATCACTACTAGTGAATAAAGGAAACAATCTACTGAGAAGATGCAGCTGTAATTACATGTACTGAGTGTTGGTTCACAAAATTTCATTAAATAAGCACTGATAGACATGAAGAGAGAGATTCACCCAGATACAAGAATAAGTCTCTTGTATATCCACTGTCACCCACAGATAATCTTCCAGACCAAAACACAAAAGGAGCAACAATAAAAACCATTCAGAGGGAATCCTGTGTCTGATATGTAGAACTGAATTGTATTGCAAAATAAAAAAAAAAGATTTTATTTCTTTTTAAATTTGTTTGAAAGCAAATAAAAATACTTTAAGATACCTAACAAAACAGTTTCTAGAGCAAAAAAAAAAATAAAATAACCTTATGGTGAGAGCCCTGTGCGGTGACTCCTACTTGTTGAGTGGTTGAAGTGGAGTTGGGGAATGAGTTCAAAGCCATCACTGGGTACATAATAATACTCTGTCAAATAAAAAAGGAATGGATGCTAAAAGGGAAAAAAACATTCAGAATTCAACTGTGTAATAGATCTCATTTACGTGACACACATCTACAGAATAAGCTACACACCGACTGCAAAATGTATGGTCTTATTAGGAACCCGGATAATGTTCCTAAGACACATCGTATTTTAGGACACAGAGCAAAACTTAACAAACATAAAAGTTACTTTCTGTGTTTTATCATGCCATAATGGAAAAAATAGAAACCAACAGGAAGAGGAATACTTTAAAATTATACAAACACATGAGGATTGAAAAATTCACTTTTAAATGATTAAAAATCAAAGCAAGGGATAAAACTTTAAGTTCCTAGAACTAAACCTACAGTCACATGAGACATAGCAAAGGAGGTTTATTGTTAGATATGCCTGCAATATCCACTGAGGGATTGTTATCTAAGACACACAAAGAACAAAAGCGACAACAACAAAAGAAAAAAGCCCAGTGCCTGGAGAGATGGCTCAGTGGTTGAGAGCATTTCACTGCTCCTGTAAGGCATCTGAAGTCACCTCCCAATGCGCACGTCTACCAGATGGCAACTTCCTTGTCTCCATCAAAGGAATCTGGTACCCTCTTCTGGCATAGATAGGAACTGCACTCACCTGCCTGAAACCACACAGAGACACATACAGATACACATGATTAATGGGATAAGAAGGAAGCATCACTGGTTGGAGAAGAGAGAGGGAGGTCAGTATAAGAAGGGGAAGGAGGGACAAGGGACAAACAACGTTAAGGATTGTTATAGAACCTTAAGGAATCAGATTAGTTTGTACTGCACACTGTGTGTGTGTGTGTGTGAGAGAGAGAGAGAGAGAGAGAAAGACACACACACACACACACACACACACACACACACACACACACACACACACACACACACACACTATGGACACAATACTCTCATGTCTCCAGCTGTTTCTGACCTGAAATCCTCTTTCCTACAGTCTGCCTTTCATGGCTCCATGAAATACTACGTAACCTGCCAATTCAACAGCCCCCAACACCTGCACCATCTGTGAATCACCAGCATAGATGGATGTGAACAAAGATGCAATCAGTAGCACCCACATGTTTGGAGCACACAACAACTGTCTACATGGACATAGTTCTTGCTCAAAAAAGAAGGAATTCATGGCTGATACTGGAAGTCTAGCCAGCTTCCAGGGCTACTGATGTAGTTTTACTAAAGAACACAATCTACTTAGAATAATTTTACCACTGTCACTTTACTGGACAAGCATGGATCTTAACTACATGCTAAATTTCATTCTTACACCCACAGACATTTGTGGCTACCACCCATCATCAAAGAAGCCTCTCTTTACAGAAAACCACAATTGGACACAAAACACAAATCAACAGATTGTGGGGAACCCAACACCAATCAATACAGCTTAACTCCTGGATCTGTAGTTCAGGAAATATTACTGGAGAGGGGGCTGAAATATTGTCAGAGCCAGAATACCAGAAAGTCTGCAGTAAAACCTTCTCTCCTGGAAATGGCTGCACAAAAAGGACTGAGCAACAGAATATCAATGGACATGTTAAGGAGACAAGGAATAATGTTTCATGGGATTCCAACCGAGACAAAGAACTACAGTCAACTAGTGATATGTAATTGTGCAACACACACACACACATACACACACACACCACATATACACATATACACATAAACACACACAAACATACACACATAAACACATGCAAACATACAACATACACATATACATACACACATGCACACAAACACACACACCATACACACACACACACACACAACAACAACAATGATAATGAAAAAGAAGTTATTAATTTAAGAGTAGGTTAGACATGGGAGGTATTCTAAGGAGTGCTGTTGGGGACATCTGGAGGCAAGTAAGAGATATGGGAAGTGGTGTAATTCTATTACAATTAAAAACATGCCGGGTGGTGGCAGTGCACGCCTTTAATCCCATCACTAGGGAGGCAGAGGCAGGTGGATCTCTGTGAGTTCGAGGCCAGCCTGGTCTACAGAGAGAGATCCAGGAAAGGTGCAAAGCTACACAGAGAAATCCTGTCTCGAAAAAACAAAAAAAAAACGTAATTTTAAAAGGGAATTAAAATAAAATATTATTAATAAACCAAGATAACCAAATCAATAAAGAAGCTAAAGACCAAAAATTTTCAAAGAAAGGAATAGTAATGGCTGACAAAACACCTTTAAGGGTTCAGCATCCTTAATCATATGGGAAATGCACTTTTAAATTACTTTGAGATTCCATGTCACTCTAGTCAGAATGACTATCCAAAGGTCAGTGACAGAAAGTGCTAGTGTGGACAGGAATAAAAGAACCGTTATTCACTGTTGGTGGTTGTGTGAACTGGTGCGATCACTTCAAAAATCATTGTGCAAAGTCCTCGAAAGGCAGAGATAAGAAGTAACCTATGACTCAGGCTTGACACTCCTGGACATAAACCCAAAGGAATTTTCTTCCTTATCTCATTCATTACATCCCGACCATGGTTTCCAATGCCTCCACTCCTCCCACCCCTCTCCCCTCCCCTCCCCTCTCCCCAGATCCACTTTTCCTCTGTTTCCCTTCATAATAAGGCAGAATTCCCAGGGATATCAAACGAATATGGTATAACAACTTACCATAACACTAGACACAAACCCTCACATCAAGGATGGATGAGGCAACCCGGTAGGAGGAAAAGGGTCCCAAGAGCAGGCAAAAGAGTCAGAGACAGACCTCACTCCCACAAGAACACCAAGTGACATAACTATAACATATATACAGAGGACCTAGCACAGACCCATGCAGGCTCTGTGATTGTCAATTCAGTCTCTGTGAGCCCCTGTGAACCCTCCTTAGTTGATTCTGTGGGCTGTGTTCCCCTGGTGTCTTTGATCATCTGGCTCCTACAGTCCTTCCTCTCTCTCTTGCAGAGGGATCCCCAAACTCCACCAAAGAACTTTATAATTGACTACCAAGATACCTGTGTTCTGTGGCCTGTGCAGAGAGAGGTCTGTACTCTAAATCCCGGAAAGGAAAGCCACATGCCAGTGCAGGACACAGTCCCGGCAAGGGAGCCTGGTGCTGCTCTCTTGAGCCTTTTGCTCCTCCCTCTCCATCTGAAGCAACAATGGAAAGAATCAGTTCAGCCTTTGTACTGTGGGACATATTAGAGATGAGAACTTGGATGGGAGTATTTCAGTTCCCTCTTCAGAACTTACTGTATTCCATAGCTCTGCTGGATTTGCTGGCCTGAGCTCCAGTAAGATGCTCTGCAGGCTGAGCAGCTCAAAGAGCCATGACTAGTTTCTCACAGCTCTAAAGGACACACATGTAAGAGCATGCTTTTGATGTTCTCTTCTGCAGTGTGGCCCAGAGATGGCCATCTTCCCTTTGTCTCTCTCCCTTGTGTGGCCCATGTCTCTCTGTGCCTTACCCTTCTCAGGAGGACACCAGTCCAGCAAGAGGAAGACCAGTCCATATAACCTCAGGCTGCATTAGTCTGCTCTCTGAAGACCACACCTCTAAGTGCAGGTGCTTTCTAGAGTTCTGGGGGATAGAATCTCAACATACAAATATTGGAGGCAAACGTGTCATCCCACAAGAAATGTGCTTTGTTTCAGGTCCAATCTCCAACCCAAGCTTAGAAAACCTGGAGACTGTGATTTGATGATACTTAGAGAAAGCACAGCAATTTCCCATGCTGTGTGAAGCTGCTCTTGCCTTACCTCAGTGATAGAAAACTATGAGAGATGTGGAAATTGGAATCCAACTTATGTAGCCTTTCTTTACTTTAGTACTAAAAAAGGATCTTTCTACATCCTTATACCCACATACATAATTATTTAACTTCAAGTCTTTGTAAAAAATATGGTTTTTGCCTAAAGCTCTGCCAGGTTCATGTCAATGCCAGAAGCTCAATTGGAGGTTACTTTGTAATGAAACATCAGTCATTTGTTGATCTCAGAACTTGGACTAATGGGTGTTTCCTTGAGCATCCACAGCAATATCCTCATCCCCCATGGATTCAGCTGCCTTTAAACATTCTACTCTGTGAAGCCTGGCTTCCAGAAGGGAAGAATGGGGAAAGTGGTAACATACAGAAGTTTCTGAGATCTCAAGTAGGAAGAATGGCCAGGGAAGAAGGAATTTGACCCCTAAATACCCTTTTCTCTCCCTTTCTTCTATCCATCCTATTTTTAAGGATTATTATCATTTTATGCAGGAGACTTCATACATTCCACAAAGTCCATTTCTTCAGGATTACATAGGAAATGGGGTGAATTAACAATTAAAGGGGCAGTGAGAAAAGAATAATGTAGTTTTTAAATAACATTTAATGAGCAGTTATGAGAGTGTCACACAGTGGCAGTGTTGACAATTATGTTGAACTGCTTCATAGTCCACAAACAACCACTGGGCTCTGCATCATACATTGAGTTCTGACACTGACTACACAACAGGTGATAATCTAATTGTGTGCTAAAGATGCACGTTAATAATAGATGATAGTTGAATAGATTATAGGTAGATGACAGATAGATGATAGAGGTTTCCGCTTTGTACAAAAAGAAAACATTTTAAGAAGTTAAGTAATTAGGTCCTCAAAACAATTAAATGGTCAAGAACATAAATTTGAAATAATACTGAATTAGTCTTTTATATGACTGAATTCAGACAACATTGAATTAAATTTTAAAATTCCTCCCCCAAAGGATGGAAATAATCCAAAATAGTAATACAATATTACAAAATCATTTTTGCAACAAAAATGTATTTATTAGACCATCACCAAAAAGGCACTTTACTCAGGAATTGAAACAACAGAGGCAACTGCCCTGTCCAGGTGACAGGCAGACTGGGAAGGCTCCTCTGAGGGCACAGGGTGGAGAGCTGCTGCTCTTCCCTCTGAGAATCTGGGACACTGAAACACTGAGGAAGAACCATTCTTAGCAGCCCCTTGAGAACAGCAGGAAAGCAGCCTCAGAGAAATGCCTTCTCTATCAGGAGTCATCAGAGGCACATGGACGGTGAAGAGTGGAGAAGTTTCTTCTGCAACTATGACAGGCTTTGGAAAGGAAGATGGGGCCGTTTTTATGGAAGTAGGTGAAACAGATTGTCTTCACTTCCCCAGTTACTGGTGACTCCTGAAGTCTCACTTGCTCTTGGGTGGGCACTTCTGCTAGCAGGATGGAGGAGGCTGCACAGGAGGACACTTCGGCTGCCATGGCTGAGGGGGGCACGGCTCAGGGCACTTTGGGGGAGGACAAGGCTCTGGGCACTTAGGCGGAGGACAAGGCTCTGGGCACTTTGGGGGAGGACAAGGCTCTGGGCACTGTGGAGGTGGGCACACAGGAGGAGGCTGGCAGGGCTGCTTGCACTGTTGTTGTTGGTAAGACATCGTGCTGAAGTCTCAGGATCTGAAAGACATTACATGAGAGTGTTCACAAGAGATCCCCGCAGAGAATGAAATGAGGCTTGTGGGACTGTAGAGTCTTTGTTTCTCTTCCTGTGTACCTGTGCGTACATGAAAAACTCCCACTCTCATTTTAGGATGTCCTGGGTTTCCTCTTCTACTTAAGCATTTTTTTTTTCAATAGCTTTAGCCAACCTTTTTTTTTTTTTAAATCTCATCTCATTTTTCCTAAGAATGTATTTCTGTTCCACAGCACTGGGTAATACTATTTATGTGAAGAGAAGATCCTCATAACCTTGGCATTCTTATAAACAGTACCCATCTAACACTAGCATATTCCAAGTAGAATAACTGAGCAACACAGACAAATAGCTGTTGAAAGAATAGGTGGGTTTCTCATCTGCTTGTGACATAAGCCTTTGAAAGGTATTCCATCAAGCTATGGATAAAAGAAAAATACATGTTTTGTTTTGTTCTCGTCTCGAATCAAAACTTCCTCGATTTTCTTCCTTTTCCATGTAGAAATCAAATTATAGCTCAAACAAACACAAGTCAAGCTAGCACAGTACATGACTTTCCTCCATTCCTAAATGTTCATCTACAGTCACATTTAACCCATGATCAGTTTGGACTCACCAAGCTTACAGGGTCTAAATTAAACTCATCACATGAGAATACTCAAAAAGCAGACCCTCTCAAGAACTCAAGAAATCAGACTCACCAGGTTCTCCGGAGTAGACCAGTGCTTGCGTACCAAGAATACTGCAACCAAGCATTGAGACTCTATTTATAGGACTGCTTGCCTCACCCAGTGGGAAGTGGATCTGCTATAATGGGCAGGTCCAAGAATTTCCAAATATAAATGCAAATCCATCCATAACAGGCTGGATGGGGACTCTGCAAAGTAGGAAATATTCCATCCAGGCTATCATCACTGGATTGAATCCTGTGACTCAGAGGTCTTTCCTTTCCTCTTGGTTCCAGTAATTGGGGCAGCTAGAAAGTTGGGGGATTATCCAACAGGTTGTTAAAGTTCTTTCTTAACTAGAGACCATGCCTCTTTGTGTGTCACAACCATCCTTTTGTCTTAAACTCATGTTTTGTGTTATTTGTCCTTCTTTAGTTCATTGTTATTTTGCCATGTTTAAGCCCATTTCCATTTTTGAGGGGTGGGGTTGGATATTTTGTTGTTGTTGTTGTTACTTTCCTCAGACATTTACAGGTTTGTTAGAAAGAAGAAGAGAAGCAAAAGAAGCTTCATTCTTGACCAAGTTCTCCCTTTAACAAGCCCTGTGGTCAGGGTATTCTATTTACCATAGATTTAATTTTTTTCTAGAAGCATGGAGAAATAACACCTGTCTCTCAGAGTAAGTGCTAACAACATTGGACCATCCGTGATCCCTCTCAGCATAAAATTTTCTCCTTTGTCTTTCTTTCCCCCGAAGAATCTCAGCTTTGACCTACATTCTCTGCTTTTGGTACCTGTCATCTTCCCACTGGGCACGGGGCTACTCTCCCTGGACAGACTCTGGTCAGAGGGGGATATAGTCTCTCTAGTGCTGTTTTTCTTTGCTTCCCACAAGATGCATGCTACAGCCTTTTCATTATTTGTTCCTTGGTGGGTTGGTTGATTGGGTGGGTGGTTTGTTTCGAGACAGGATTTCTCTGTGTAACAGTTCTTGCTGTCCTGGAACTCGCTTTGTAGACCAGGCTGTTCTAGAACTCATAGATCCTCCTGCCTCTGCCTCCTGAGTGCTGGGATTAAAAGTGTGTGCCACCACCACCTGGCAGCCTTTTTATTTTTTTTTTTATAAAACGTACTCTTAATCGTCATATGTAGGAAAAAGGGAGAATTGAACACATATCGCAAGCATTGATTCAAATGTATGTAGCGGGCCTCACCTGTGCGGTCCCAAGTGGTGCTTTCTAGGGTGCAGAACATGAAGGCTAGACTCAGTCACCACATGTAAATAGTGAAGAGTAAATTAGGAAGGGGCAATCAGAGCATTAAAAGTATGAAATCTGAGGCAGGGGGATATGAAGTTAGCTCAGACTCACATGTTGGATTTTACTTACTATTCAGGTAAAGTTAGTAACTTTGGAAGACAGTATTTCAAAACTTTCTTCTGCAGACATTTTTCTATTAGTTCTTCACCCAGTCTACCTGTCCACCATCTTCTCCTACATATACCAAATTGTACAGAGAAGACAGCAACATTGTTCTCTGTTAAGACAAATGCTAGCATTCATTAGTCACAGAAGACATTGTCAATACGTTTATAGACTATCCCCATTCCTGTCCCTTCACCTCTTCATACAATCAATAGGGCTAGATAACTATGTATTCAACATTTAAAGTGACATTGGTAGGGTTTCCTTGTCTTAATCAAATGATTAGAAACTTCAAATGGCATCTAGTTTTATAAGTAGAGGAGGAAGACAAGGATGACAAGGGAAAGGAAAGATTTAAACTCTCTGAAGCAGCCACCAGCTGTTCTTCAGAAAGTACAGGAGCACAGGGTCAACCTCAGCTTAGCAGCTCAGCTCCTCAGAGCTGTCAATGTTGCTGACAATAAGGAAGAGTTTTGCCAACAACACCACTGTCCCCAATGAGTCTCTACAGGGAAAGAGCCAGGAGCTGACAAATGGCATCATCATGAATGGTTCACACTAGATACTGCACATACCGTAGAGATAGATCAAGCGCCTTTACTCAGTAAATCTCTTATGACTCTCCAAATTCTCACGTCACATCTAAAGCATCATTCTAGGGGAATGTCTGGTTTCTATCATCCAAAGTTAGAAAACAAGCTGGCCAACTGGGAATATCACAATAAAGTTTTGGTTACATCTTTACTCTTTCTCCAACTACATCACAATCAAAAAGGCATTGAGTTAAAGGAAATCAGCGGTCCCATGAAGACACATATCATGTGGTTTTTTTTTTTCCTAGAGTGAGAATCTAGGGAGTGAGGAAAGCATAAAAATCAAAGGGTCTATGAACTGTGAAACAGGAAGGGGTCTAAGAGTAAGAGTAATAAATCAGTGAATGTGATCAAATGTAGTATATTCATGAATGGATAGGTCATAAGGAAACCCCTCACTCTGTACAACTGATACTCACTAATAAAATGTGTTGAAAGACTGCTAATCATAATGTTTCAGGCAACAGAGTGAGAGCAGCAGTCATCACTTTACAGACTGGGATGGTTGTTGAATGAGTTCCTTGCAGATCAGCTATAGCAGGGGTTCTCAACCTGTGGGTTGTAAGCCCTTTTGGGGTTAGAATGACCCTTTCACAGGGATCACCTAGGACCATTCACAACAGAACAAAATTACACTCATGAAGTAGCAACAAAAATAATTTTATAGTTGGGGCAGGGTCACCACAACATAAGGAACTGTATTAAGGGATCACAGCATTGGGAAGGTTGAGAAACTATAGAAAGAACTGTCCCAGATGAAGAATGAAACAACACAAACTTTCTCCAGCTTTGAACCTCCAAGGACTGAGACAGAAAAACAGCATACTTTATACTCTCTCTCTCTCTCTCTCTCTCTCTCTCTCTCTCTCTCTCTCTCTCTCTCTCTCTCACACACACACACACACACACACACACACACACACACACACACACACACGCACATGTACACTCTCAAGTGGGCTCATGTTTCTCCCTACCATTGTTGACAAAATGTCTAATGAGCTGTGTTTTATTACCGTTAAGGGTCAGAAGTTCCATGCTTAACTCCAGTACTTCTCATTCGTTATTGCTGAAGGGATTTTACGAATCCCTACTATATGAAAAATAGCAGAGAAGAGCAAAAGACTTCAATTTTTCTTTTTTTTTTTTTTTTTTTTTTTTTTTTTTTTTTTTGGTTTTTCGAGACAGGGTTTCTCTGTGTAGCTTTGCGCCTTTTCCTGGAACTCACTTGGTAGCCCAGGCTAGCCTCGAACTCACAGAGATCCGCCTGGCTCTGCCTCCCCAGTGCTGGGATTAAAGGCGTGCGCCACCACCGCCCGGCTCAATTTTTCTAATACTTGTCAGTTTACCCAAATTTTACTACTATATATCATATACCCATGACCGAGATGGCTTCTGCAACTCAAGATTATACAATCAACTAAGAAATAAGTGTAAAAAAAATGGAAACGGTAACAAAATATTCCTGATATCCCCAGAGAAATGGTAACTGCCGGCACCATTGAGTTTCTGCCTTCTGCTCATTCCCCACTATTCTTTCATAATTTTGCTGAATCAGATAAATTCATGAGCCCTATTGTAGAATTATTTCCATACTTGTTATTTTTATTGCGCTTGTTTAGCCAGTTGGGTGGGGAGAGGCACATGCTAAGGTGTGGGTCCAGAAGTCAGAGGACAGCTTGTGGGAGTCGGTTCTTTGCTCCTTCCATGTGGGTCCCAGGGATCAAATTCAAGTGGTTGGGCTTGGAGGCAAGCACCTTGACTGGCGGAGCCATCTTGCAGGTGGTGTGAGCCCAACAACCTTCCATGAAGAACCATTGCCACATAGAAACTCTCACAAGAGTATGGCGGAGATTCAAGCCACGGGAAACCATTTTGTGGTGAGTCATCATTATACATTCTACCTGCATCAAATTTTTGAAATATTTACTTTAAAACCAGAAAACTCTAAATCAAAGGAGAAAAAGTTGAAAAACTAAACCACACAAGCACACTGCCATATATCAGAAACATTCAACAGGTTCAGAGCTAGAAGCAGGATTTGTGTTGGTTATGGTTTTTTTTTAATAGAAAAAGAATAAAGAGAAACTGAACTTCCACCCAACCATGATGCATGCTCTTTACTCATGATACTAAGAGGAAATACATTATCAGGTGATGGAAATACCTGCCTGAATCACAGAAGTCACAGTTCAGTGCATGGTGGGGCTCCTCTACCTGAGGCCTTGGGAAGTTTAGACTTGAGGGTGGTCCTTGTTTACAGAGGAGCAGTTTTTTATA